TATAAAGTTTATGGCAGACAATGAGGTATTGGATAGAACAGAAAAAATAACATACCTAGGATGCAACATCACAGACAATTTTAGGTAATTTGTGTAATTAACCATTTATTTCATTTTACTGTAGTGTTTTATACGGCTCATTTGATTTTTAAAATTTTTGCATGATACAGTACACTACTATCAAGCATTCAACTGGTATTAGCTATACTAAAAAATTTCAGGACTGGTTTTATAAAAATTAATTTAGGGATTCGTATTAAATATTACACCCTGTATATATATTTTTTAAAATGCAATAAGTGATTTTCAAACTACATAAATAGCCAATGAAAACGACATATGCGACAATGTTGTCGCACTTTTATTAAATTTTTAGTGAACGATCAAATCTTACCAAAAATAGAACAACCATAATGAAGTATCAAATTATAAGGTATTAATTTAAACAAATGTTATAAATTTCAAACATTTTAATTAAAATGAGTTCCTACAACACAATCTAATACGTAGAAAATTAACGTCTTTATTGTCACTTTGTATTATCTCTACGATAGAATCAACTGTTTTCCAATTTTAAATTTTTACTCATAGATCGTATTGGGGCATTATTTTCGATAAATAATAAATTAAATTGATATAAAAGCCAAACCTCTTGTATGTGTTTGTTTTTGTTGATTGTAAATGATTAAAATTTTATGTCAAATAATAATACATTGCATCAACTGTACTAAATAAAAATAAATCTAAAAAAGTTTAAAATGAAGGTTGGCGTTGACCGTTTGACGTTTCTTGATATTTTATACCCATTGTCATTATTGTCATTATCAATTGTTATTTATGTGTACAAGAATACATATTTCTTCTGTCATATCTACATTAAGTACATTGTGTTAGTTTTGGTAGAGCTTTTGTTACTTTCGTTCAAAATGCCACATCAGTTTTCGACCACAGAATATGCAGACATAATATTTGTTTATGGATTCTGTAATGGGAATGGTAGGGCTGCTAGTAGAGAATATCGCAGGAGATTTCCTAATCGTCGAACTCCCAGTCATCCAACATTTGGGTCAGTTTTTAATTATTTGCGAGAAAATGGCTCTTTTCCTAGTGGAACAACAGAGCGACATGTAGATGAAGCGCAGGAAGATGACATTATGGACGCCGTTACTATGAACCCTACAATAAGCACTAGACAAGTAAGTCGAGAACTCAATGTTACTCAATCAAAAGTAAGTAGAGTCTTATAAAAAAATAATCTATACCCATTTCACATTCAAATAGTTCAGCGACTACATGCTGGAGATGAGATTGATTTGTTGGAATTTTGTAGATGGATTAACAATAATCGACCAACGCTATACAGGACACTATTTACTGATGAAGCCCAATTTAGCAGAGACGGATAAATAATTCACGAAATTCACATGTGTGGGCAGAAGAAAATCCTCATGCTATTCGAGAACGTCGTTCTCAGTTAAGGTTTTCGGTTAACGTGTGGATTGGTGTCATAAATAACCAATTAGTAGATCCTCACTTTTCTGATGGTCCTTTAACAGGGCAGGTCTATTTAAACTTTCTACAAAATATTTTGCCGAATTTGCTTGCCATCGCGAACGTTGCTATCCGAGGGATATATTTTCAGCATGATGGGGCACCCCCACACTTTTTACTGGCAGTGAGACAACATCTCAATAATGTTTATGGCAACAGGTGGATAGGACGTGCAGGTCCTATTTCGTGGCCCAAGATCCCCTGATTTCAATCCCGTTGATTACCATATTTGGGGACGATTGAAGCAACTAGTTACGCATTGAATATTAATAACCGACAACAATTAATTGATAGAATTATACATTGTTGTAATACTATTAGAAACGATCCCCAGAGTATCCGTAATTCAATACGTCAATTAACAATTCGGCAACAAAAATGTGTACAGCCTGCAGGGTTCCATTTCGAAAATCTATTTTGAATTATTTTTATTTTCTTACCATTATTGTATCTTTTCCAGTTCTAATTTATGGGTTTATCATAACTATGTACATATTTTTAGTTTTTTTGTAAATTGTTCTTCGTTATTGTTAGTAGTTACTGTTTTTTGTTGTGCAGTGACTCAATTTATCATTTCAATTAAAATTTTGACATTTAATACAGTTTGAAATTTATAACATTTGTTTAAATTAATTACCTTATAATTTGATACTTCATTATGGTTGTTCTATTTTTGGTAATATTTGATCGTTCACTAAAAATTTAATAAAAGTGTGACAACATTGTCGCATATGTCGTTTTCATTGGCTATTTATGTAGTTTGAAAATCACTTATTGCATTTAAAAAATATATATACAGGGTGTAATATTTAATACGAATTCCTAAATTAATTTTTCCAAAGCCAGTCCTGGAATTTTTTAGTTTAGCTAATACCAGTCGAATGCTTGATAGTAGTGTACTGTATCATGCAAAAATTTTAAAAATCAAATGAGCCGTATAAACACTACAGTAAAATGAAATAAATGGTCAATTACACAAATCACTGTGTTAATTAATAAAGAAGAGGAGTTGACATTTTTTAGTGGCCACATGATATGCTCCCTGTGAGACTCTACATATGGTAGAAGTATGTAAAGTTCCTCATGACTCACCCTGTATAAGTACATCATTAACATATATTCTTATGTCAAATTATTACAGTGACAAACAAATCAGTAGTTAGTAAAAAACAATAGAAATATAAAAAAAAACACAAAATAATTTGATTTAAAGAACTTGAATTACATATCTGTCAGATCTATGTACCGTTAACAAATATTGTTTTTTTCGTGCAGTGTATTAGTATTTTGAAAACTAATTGCAGGTAACAAAAGGTGTACATATCTATTTATCTTTTTGTTGTGTATGATTTAAACCAGTGCCATTAATTGATAGAAAAAAAAAGAGGAAACACAAACCGCTCGCATGATATTAGGAACGCCCGTTAGTTCAGCCACAATTTGTAAAATATCGCCATCGGAAAAAATTGTCATTATAGTATATATATTTATATTATCTGTACACGTACTATGCATTTCCTTTGGTGAAACATATTAAAAATGCAAAGACGATACATAGATAGAAAATTACCACGCGTTTGAACACGTGATAAAGCAAAATTGTACATAGTTCAACATTTAAGAAAAAACTAAAGAAATTATGCGATGCCCATAAAACTACTAAACCTAACATAAAAAATTTAAGTGTAAATTAGTGATTAAAAAATAAAGAAAAATTTATATAAGTGATTTAGCTAGACGAATCTTGGTCGCTGAAAATTCAGCTGCTAACCCAATTAACCTTACCATTATACTAATTATATATATATATATATAATATATATATATATTATATATATTATATATATATATATATGTGCTTTATTGATTACAACAAAGCGTTTGATAAAGTTCGTCACGATCACTGAATGAAACTGCTAGTAGAAAAAAACTTGGATAAAAGGAACATTAGAATTATCTCTAGAATTTAATATAACCAGAAAGCAAATATCTGAATAGAGCAAGAGACAACGGAGGAAATCGAGATCAAGAAAGGCGTAAGACAGGGTTGTATACTCTCACCGACCTTATTCAATCTATACTCCGAAGACATTATAAACACAGCACTTTCGGATCAAAATATAGGTATTAAGATAAATGGCATCCGAATAAACAACTTGAGATATGCCGATGACACGGTACTAACCGCAGAAACTTGGGAAGATCTTCAAATACTAATTAACAAAATAGTAGAATGCAGTGAAGAATACGGATTATCACTTAACATAAGCAAAACAAAAATAATGCTAATATCTAAATCACCACAAAACTTCCCTGACATAACCGTGCATGATCAAAGAATCGAACGTGTAAGAAGATATAATTACCTGGGAACTGTTATCAACGAAAATAATGATTGCTCTGAAGAAATCAGAACCAGAATAGAGAAAGCTAGAGCCACATTTACTAAATTGAAAAAGGTGTTCTGCGGAAGAGATCTAAGTATAAAACTTAAAATTCGCCTTTTGAGATGTTACGTTATGTCAGTTCTCCTCTACGGGATGGAAACATGGACATTGAAAAAAATAGATAGCAAAAAGATAGAAGATAGAATTTGAGTTGTGGATGTATCGTAGAATATTAAGAATACCCTGGACAGAGGAAAGTAACAAATGTGGAGGTTTTGCGGAGAGTGCGGAAAGAGAAAGAGCTGATACTTACTGTTAAAAAGCGCAAACTACAATATTTGGGACATGTTATGAGGGGAGATAAATACCAGTTGCTGCAATTGATTATACAGGGAAAGATAATGGGAAAGAGATCTATAGGAAGAAGAAGGCATTCATGGTTGAAAAACTCGAGAGAATGGTACAATTGCACCAATTACCAACTGTTTAGATCTGCAGCATCAAAAATACGCATAGCTTTGATGATAGCCAAACTTCGGAACGAAGACGGCACTTGAAGAAGAAGATCGGTACATTTCCCTTTTATTATTGCCAAGAAGTAAATAGGGAAAATCATAAACACCTTTTACATTAAAATAAGTTTTAGCTTCTAACTACTATTTCAGCATTCAGTTACGGTTATTTATAAGGTATTTTAATTTATTTAAAACAAAATTTTACAAATTAGCAAAATTTAGCATTCTACATTAATTACTTTAAAAATCGACTTGTTCTAAAGTTTTTCTTAAGTGCTAAAAATAAATAGGTTATAGGGGGGTAAAACTTATTTCAACGCACGGCACGGTATATATAATTGCAGTCCCAATAATTTGCAACATACTTAATGAATAAAAAAAATATAAATATTGAGGTATAAATAAGTATCTTTAACATTTCTGCAATGTGCAACAAATTGTTTGTTTAAAATATTTCCACTAATCCTCTAAATTCCTTAGAAGGTCGGCATCAAGGAAACTTTCTGATTACATGAGTATAAAAAACATTATAAAAAACAAATATTACCTTTTAGTTCACTAACATGTTCCTCACTTCCCGCACAATTAAAAAAGCAAACACCCGTTACAAAAACCGTAAATAATAATTGATGCATGGCCACTTAGTTAACTTAAAACTTCAATTATCGATTTAGCAAATCATATGTTTCGCGTGAATCGAGACGACCTTTGGAGAACGAGTCTTTGGGTAATTCCTACGACGACCGGTGTGTAAGAAAGACTGACTTGACTGCGACTGATTGACTTAAACTTGTTCGTCTGATTATGGTAGGTAAAGTTGATAGGCTGGGAGTAAGCTAAGGCAATCCCCACACCACGCACGTATTCTTGCAGGAAATTGCAAAATTTCGACGATCTTGACCAAGCAGATAATCTTAAAAATCCAAAAATATTGAAAATACCAAATTTCTTTTTAAAACTGTTTTTTATGCAGTTTCCTAATATTTTGCGCACATCGAACAAAAAATATTTTAGTTTGACGCTTTATACACTTCTTACTCCTAAGCATTTCGTTATTATAGTGTATTTTTATGTATGAGAGAATAATAAAACAATAAATTATGTATGCAAATCCCTAAACTGTTGATACGGGTGACTCAATGAAAAACAGATATTTGTCAACAAGTTTACAGAAGTATATAGGAAAACAATTTTAAATTGAGTATGACCACCAGGTATAAAGGTTGGAGCAGAATAGAATACAATAGTTGTGAGGGTTACTAATCCCTAAATATAAGGTTGCCAGTGTCGGAGTGATGGAGGTTAACAGGTACTAATGAATTTGCAAGAAATGTAAGATGTTTATTTTATTGGTTATATATAACCAATAAAAGTTTAATAAGTACCTACCTATTTGCAAAATAAAGTTTAATTCTTTAGATAAAATAAAACGTTTTATTTTATCTGAAATGAGTGCATTCCACGAAGTAAGGGTTTCAACAATCAAACATTTAATTCTTTAATTCCAGGAATCTACGACAGTAATTGACTAGATAATTACCTTCTAAACTTATTCCACAGAAAATGTGATAGTGGGTTTTTCCATTTTGTAGGAAGGTCCAAGTGGCGTATTCAAAATTCTTAACAGTTCACTAAAAGTAGGTACTTCAGTTGCAAGGTGCAGTTTATTGTGTATACTAGTGTTATGGAAAATTTGGAAGTGCCGTGTAAACGCCGAAAAATTGGTCCTTTAACAGTTAATGAAAAAACATTAATATTTAATTGTTTTAAATCATTTACAGACAAACGTTTATGTGAAAGTGTTGATGAGACCGTTGAGTTAGTTAGCAGTACACTTGGTGTTAGGAAATCTACTATTTACAGAGTTATTAAAGAAGAGAAATGTGGTAGTTTTCAAATGCCACGTAATGCTCCAGGGAAACCAAAATTTCAAATAGAATATCATTTTAAAGAAGGACTTCGACGGAAAGTGCATGAATTCTTCTTTAGACAAGAATTTCCAACATTGGATAAAGTTCTTGTCTCAGTTCGAGATGATAAGGATTACCCAGAAATGAGTCGAAGTACGTTATGGAAACTTTTAAAAGAAATAGGCTTCCGCTGGAAAAAGAATCCCAGAAAGTCTATTTTATTAGAAAGAAGCGATATTGTCATATGGAGAAGACATTTTCTAAGAACCATAAAGGAAATGAGAAACCAAAAAAGAAAAATATTTTATCTTGATGAAACATGGATCAACGAGGGTCATACACCAAATAAATTTTGGCAGGATGAAACTGTTACAAGTCAAAGGCACGCTTTTGTAAATAACTTATCTACTGGTTTAAACCCACCATCAGGAAAGGGACGCAGGCTGATAATAGTACACATTGGCAGTTCAGACGGTTTTGTTGAAGGTGGTTTATTAACTTTTGAATCAACTCGTACCGGTGACTACCATGAAGACATGAACGCTGATGTCTTTCAAGAATGGTTCGAACAAATGATAGATCTTCTTCCTAAGAACTGTGTAATAGTAATGGATAATGCAAGTTATCACCCCAGACTTATAGAAGGACTGCCCACAACCAAGTGGTTAAAAAAAGACTTGCAGAATTGGCTGAGTTCAAAAAATATTACGTACCATCCCGGATCTATAAGAAAGGAACTTTATTCGTTGTGTGCCCTTCATAAAGAAAAATATTTAAAAAATACGAAATTGATGAAATTGCCAAAAATCGTGGAATGACAGTACTTAGATCCCCACCATATCATTGTGAATTAAACCCGATTGAACTGGTATGGGCACAGATAAAGAGTTAAGTTTCAAGAAAAAATACCACTTTTAAAATTCATGATGTTAAACAGTTGTTTTTGGAGGCCGTAAATAACGTAAAACCTGAAAACTGGGAAAAGGCAGTAAATCACACTATTAAAGAAGAGGAAAAAATGTGGAAGCTGGACAATATTACTGATAAAATGATCGAGCCAGTTATTATAAATCTTGGTTCTGAAAGTTCATCTTCTGAATCTGATTTGGATTTGTAACAAGTAGCTGTAAGTTTTATATTAATATTTTTATTCATCTATTTAACATACCTTAGACGGTTTTAAAAACTCTTTTTCTCTTTTGTAATTTTTAAAAATTAAAAAAAAATGTGAATTTTTTAAAACCCTTTTTAATGTAGGCCAGTCAGTTCTAATATAGTGTGTGATAAAAGAGGTCACTTTTGTTTACATACACATAACACTTTATAACACTGAAATAATTAATTTATTTTTTACAATTATTCAAAGTAATTTTTCAATTAATCTTGAGCACGCCCATGGAGTGGTCGGAGATACCAGTTAAAATTATTCTAATTACTCTCTCGTTCATAAAAATAAACTATAGTACTACAGCTAACGATATATTTTTCTTTTAAACAATTTCTTTTAAATTGTTGTCTCACACTATTCTCAAAAATTACTATTTGTTTACTTGAAAAAAAAAATTATTGGCATAATATCGTGGGTTTGGTGCAAAAACTGTACAGTCGTCACCAAATTATTGTAGAATTTATACTCTCTAAGTCATTTTTATTTGATGGGATTAGTAACAAAAGCAGGTAGCAGTAGCATTGTGTTCATTTGTGACTGAACTATTTGTTTATGGTAGATACCTCTCGAAAATTAACATCACTCAAATACACAACTTTGTATCAAGCTTAAGATAGGGTTTTCTGCAATAATTTGTTGGCAACTATAAGTCAACATAGTTCATTTCGTGAAAGTGGCATCTAAAAACAGTAGTGATGATAGTACTAGTAGTAGTAGAACAGTAGTAGTTCTGATATACCACTAGTAAAAAAAAATACGGGAAACATATCAAACAGACCTTTTTTTGTCTTTATAGAGGAGGGGTCTGGAATCTTCAATAGACATCTCTGTAGAGGTCACCTCCTAACTGACCTTAGTGCAGGATTCGTTCTTCGTACTCCCTATAATGCCTATCTGCTAAACCAGACCCTCCTTTATCATCCAGCGATCTAAAAGCGGAATGGTCGCTGTAAGACCAGCATCACTTCCAAAGCACTACCTTCTTTCATCTCCAGACTGTCAGCAAGGAGGCTCTTTGTCTCGTTCCAGATAGCGCGTGGAAGACCCTCATCGCTTCGAGTACGGCATCACTCCCAGACGGGCATTTCCTCCTTTCCCACAGTCTGGCTGACACAGTCTAACTCAAACAGTCTAACTCATACAGTAGGACTCACTTTTTCCTTTTTTCTACTTCTTCCTCTTCTTTTTTCTTGATTACTGCATAGATATAGTTGTTCACTAGTCCAACCTTCTTTATTTTCAATCATTCCCTCAATCATTTCTCTCACTGTAAAAAAATTCACACCTGTCTCTCTTTCCATTCTGTTCCTTTCTACTATCCATGTGTTACTCTCTAACATCGTATGTGTCACAGTGTCCGAGTGTCCACAGTAGATGCATTTATCTGTGTAAGCCTTTCCGAACCCAGAGGGGTAGGCCCCAAATCAGTTCGGGATCAGAATCTTTGTCCACTGTGCCACATCCTCCGTGTCATTTCATACTTCTTGCCATCTTTCAATTTATCTTTCCTCTTTCTGTCTTCTCTTGGTCATAGTTAATTGTTTAAATGAGATGAATGGGCTAACGCTCATTTCGGAGAATTGGTGCTCATGAGTTTGGGTCCTATTTGCCCGACTTTTTGAGTTTTTGCTAATTATTCTAGGTGGCTTGCGCCGGTTTTTTGTGTGTTTTTTTTTAATTTTTTTTGTTGGCCGATTTCCCGGATCTCTTCTCGCATAGAACTTGTTTCTTTTACCTCCAAAGCATGCAATGGAACAAATCCAGTGATGGTCCACAAATATCAAGCAGACCTAGAGTATAATTTAGGGAAAGGCATACAAATAAGGCATACACTGGACCAAGGTAAGGTCGCCGAACAATTCCAAGAGGTCCTGATGTCAGCGTTGGAAGACAATTGTCATTGAAGTTAATGGATATAGTAAGTAATTCCAACAGGAAAGTACTCTGGTGGAATGATAAACTTGCAAATCAAATGATAGAAGTCAGACTAAACTTTGAATTCGCCAAAAAATCCGGTAACTTACGAGATTATAGCAAAGCTCTGATTGAATATAATAGGGAACTGAGTAGGGCAAACAGATAATCGTATAGAACGCATTTCGCGGAGATAGAATACACTGCAGAAATATCAAGATTCTTTAAAGTTCTGTAAAAGAAGCCTTAGATAAGTATCCTATCACTCACAAAGAAGTCAATTGAATACACTCAGAATAACGAAGGAACCCTGAAATAACTTTTTTAGGGTGAACTTTCCTACGTCTCAAACAAAACTCATACCACTAGACACTTTATAGCAAACTGGACTGAATAACACGATTTATAGTTCTAGAGCACACTGGCTTGTGGCAAAAGAAGTGGTAAAACAGGACTAAATCAAATGGGCAGTAAACTCATTTGAATTATACCTATATATTATTCTGTTCGGATGGGATTTGTTCAATAGTTCTACAAAAGGAAAATAATTTTCTGTGCAAAAAATTATGTATGATACTGTAGACTGGCTTAGGACTGGTATACATATCAATAGCATGGAGGCAATTACTGGTGGCTTTTATATCCAAATCTGGTAAAACCGGACACAAAAAAGCCAAGTCCCGAAGGCCGATAAGTCTAATGTCATTTGTACTGAATACTCTAGAAAAACTGCTCGATGGGCACATTAGAGATGGTGTACTGGTTGAAAGTCC